GAAAGGGAATTCATATCTTGCAGAATAGACGATATATACTCATCAAACGAAGGGAAAAAGTGTTATCCTCGCACAGTAAGGAAGTTATTTGTTTCGTGAAAAATATTTATAACATTGAAAATGTTAATTTTTTGACACACGTTTGTTAGAATTTTTTTCTTATATCTACCATACAAGTTATAAATTCTTTTTACGTATCGTCCAGTATATTTTCATCGATTTTATGGGAAAAGCAATATTTTACTTATTTCACGCAATTTTGCACGCGTTTTCAATCAGACGCATCTAGGCCATTTCACGTAATTTTAATCGACGATAAAATCATTCGTGGAAAAGTTTGGGAATATTTATTGTTTATGTTACAGAATCGTTAATCGTTCTTTTTTAAATTTCAATTTTTAAAGTTTTCAAGCTAATCGATATCCATTGTAGGAGGCAGCACATAGTTGTGCATGTAGCATGTAACAGATAGCTGTAGACACGAAAGGATTTGATTTACGCGTGGAATCTCGACCATCTTTCATCCCCGAGATTCGGTCTCCGAGTTTGGACTTTTACCAGAATCAAACGTGGCAAATCTTTTATCAGCTAGGGAAAAAAAAAAAAAAACGAAGAGAAATCATTTTATTAACGTTAAATCGTTTATCGGGCTGGAAACCATATATTTCCTTTCCTGTTGCTCTTAGAACCTGTATAATGTTATCAAATGCTCATAAACTTGTATTCCAACTTGAAAAAGACAATTTGATTTATGATCTGCGCTTTTTACTCGATCATAGATCAAACTCAACGCAATAAACACGATTCAAATCACGATTTCTAAAAATTAATCGAATATATTTCATCTCATATGCTTACTTTCAAGAATAAAAAGAAGAAAGAATGATAATATTACATTCGTGAACGAACTTTTGAGAATTTCTGAACAAACGTAAAAGTTGGTATATAAAAAAATGTCGATCGATTCACAAGTAATTTAATTTTGCGCTAGAAACGCCTGTAGATAGGCAACTGTGCTTAACCAATTGGGCATCAACTAAAACGTTGTAAAGATTTTAGAAATGATATTTCATTTCAAATGATGTACGATTATCTAACATCGCAAGTCGAATGTTAACGTTATCGTTAAATTAGAATTAGAAAATTAAATAAGAGTTACTTACTTTTGCAATATGAAATTCACGATAATTCGTTATAAAGTTAAATTATTTTTATCGAATATACATAATAAATTACGCGAATATACAATGTTCCACGATAAAAAAAATTCTATATTTTCTTGTTTTATAATTATATATACTCTTACATGTATTATATCACTTCAAAATTCTAGACTAATTAATTATTCGAAATAACGTATTCCCATTAAAATTTTTCTTAAAGAGCCCGGACCAAGCAATTTGCGATACGATATTGCCTATCTACAGCGTCGCAAAATTAAATTACTTACAACTTAATTAATGACACAAGTTGACTTAATCTTCAATTTCTGCATATCCATATTTTACCTTCCTTTCATTCTTTACATTCTCGATCGTCCAAAGATTGTCCACCAATACGTCCACCCTACTGATATACACCTCCATGCGAAATTACCTTTTTCCTGCAATAACTTTCTCCCTGCACACCCTATATTCCGACCATTTCATTCATTAACACATATATCTCCGTTGCAATAAACCTTCATCGAACGAGATAAGGAAAAAAAAAAAAGAAAAAAAGAAAAATAAACGATAATGGCACTATTAACATTTCCACGAATTAACCAACCGCTAATTACGCTCGATTAATATCAATTAACAAAACGTTCGATCGTTTCGAAACTCTCGTCCTCTTTTCGAAATTCCACCTTTATTTAACTTCTCGAACCTCGTGGTTGTATACCTCGCCTATATAAAGCGATTACAAACCTCGCCAACCGTAATCATTATTATTATCCACACACAGTGGATGGCCGCTGCAAAATGAACGACACGCGAAACGTTAATTAATTCACGAGCCGAGTCGATCCTCGCTTATTTATCGCGGTGTGGATCGCGCTCTCTCCCCCCCCCCCCCACCTCCTTTTTTTGCTCTGGTCACGGTGCGGCAACACCGTGACGAGCCGAAAAAAGAAGAAGGAAGAGAGGAAGGAAAAAACCGTCGTCGATAAGCCTGTAGACTTCTTGGCTTCGCTTCGCGGCTGTGCTTCCGCTCGTTCGAATTCAATTCATTAATTCGACCGCGATATTTTCTTTCGCCCGAGTCAACAGGATCGTATTTTTAATCGTCGAGTCTAGCTTCAGTCGAGTTAAAATGTTCTATTTGATCAATGTATTTAATATTTAACATCGTTTTCTTCCGTTTTTCAAATACGTTTAAATCAATAGCTTTATACGTTTCTTTTAAATGAAGCCGAAAAGGAATGTATGAAGTTTATAGATGGAAGGAATTTATTTTTTTCTAATCTTATCCTTTGGTGTATAAAAATTGTAGTTTCGTTTGAAAAGATAAGACTAATTTCTATTTTCAGATCAAATATATACACCGTTATGTATTATTAATTTTTTTCTATGAAATGAAAAAATAATAATAATTTATTTACAATTGAAGCGAACTTGTAAGTGATATAATGAAAATCATATCTTCTGTCTTACAAATAAAGATTGATAAAAGATTTCGTTTCTGCAAAAACTGCATGTTATCTAATCCTATCTCTATAAATCATAATCATAATATATGACATGATAATTTAATTTTATTTCAAAAGTTTATAGTAAATGAATTCTTTGTGACTGCAATTGAATTTGTAAAAAATAAAACAAGGTACACATTGATCTTTTAATTTTCATGTATGAATGCGAGATATTAAAATAATTTTTTCTTATCTTCTAAGAGTTATGGCTAGATACAGCGAAATAAAGTCTGTACAACTTCTTGTGCATGTCACCACGCGACACACACAATCGCTACAATGTCCTCTGTGAAATTTTATCGTCGCCTTATCGAGGCTTATCTGGTAACGCGAATTTCGACCATTTTGGTTTCGCGCGTCATTTTTTGAACTTTGGAACGCGCATGCGCGTGAAATTTAATGCAACGCGTTATTGGACACCTCGATCCGTCCTGAAGCGATCGTCCTGATAAGTATAATTTTTCGATAGTTAGCTAGAACAAAGTGGAAAAAGGTCAACTTTTTCTAAGTTTGATCGTCTAGAAACAAAATTTCGTGCCTGATCAACCATGTGAACGATGCTTGAATTATCAATAACAAGATTATTTATTGATAATTTTCTCCTTTTCTCCTAAAAGTTCTCTTTGTTATTGATAGTTTTTTCATATAAGAAATAAAAGATGTTATTAGGATAATCTGATCTTTGGAGATCAAAAAGTATCTCGAAACTTTTTCCAATTTTTTAAATATCCAATTACAATGTACAATTAAAGAACAATTTTCAATTATGACTATTGATTTATGACATAAAATTAATACTAGGTAGATACTTACAGATAATCATTGTATGTATTATTGGTGATGATTGGAACACGTTTTAAATTATAAGTGCTGGGATATCTGTATACGCAAAATAAAATTTTTATGAATGTGAAGAAATTGTTCTTAAAACATTATAATGTTTTAAATATTTTGAACTTTTTCATAAATATTCGTTACTAATGATAACAAGTTTAATGTTTGTTAACAATAAAAACAAAGATAAAATTTTCAACGATCATCACGGTTAGCAGTATCTCAATGATACTCATTTGTCAAAGTCAAGCTGTTATTAATCACTGTCGATATCAAGATAGGTGGTCATATGTGTTTAAGAATAATGATTTAAATGATATAAAGCAATTGGTTGATAAATAAAATTAAAGAATCACTCAATTTCTTATCAAAAAAACTATTTGTCTTTCAACTTTACAGAAAAACTTTACCTAATTATATCTAAATCCATTTTAAAGTCTCCAATTGTACATATCTAATTTGAATTTCCCGCTTTTCCAAATTCGGAATAAAGATCGAAAAATAATTTTTGTGTCAAAAAATTCTCACAAACTTGAAATAATTCGTATAATAATGCGACGAAAAACATCTCGAGAAAAAAAGAAAATCAAACGTATATGCTACATTCAATACATGCTATATTTCAATAATTAAATTTCCCAATAGCTTTTAACACTTGACGTCGTTGGAAAACGAATTAGACCGAAGCGTAAGTGGGTACGCCGGTGTTATTAATGCAGTTAGAATTATCGATAACACGTAGTCGACGATTGCTCGCAAACAGGTAGACAAAGCAAGTCACGATGCAATTAATGGAACGGTGGAATGGGTTGGCAAGCGAGACAAAATACGTGCACGTGTTCACTTATCTGACCATCCACGAACCGGGTCTCGCGTGTCACGATACACCATAGTACATTCTCAATTAAAAGCAAGCGTAAATCTTGCTCTTGTCCGCTGCCCGTTCAAAGAGACACTCGCTTCCTTCCGTTTAAGCACCTCGGTGTAGATTGGAGGACAGAAGAAATCGCAATTGTTCACCAGAACCGCATAATTGAATCGTTGTTTAACACACGCGAAGGAATGCCTCGAATTTCATCAAGGCACGGGTAACAAGTTTGATCGATGCAGCGCAAACTTTCTACACCGTGTTGCTCCGAATATAAGTGTTTCGAATCGATTGGATTGTTTATATTTTTGTAGATTAAAGAAAGAATGTTAAGGTTGCAATATAATATTGATTCGACACGAGATATCTAATCTAAAATTATTTTTTATCGTTTTTGTTGGCAGAAATATTTTTGGTATTTCATTTTAATCTATTTCGTCTTACTTGTATAATTTTTTTGTTGGTCAACTGCCGTTTAATAAAACGTCAGTGAATTCCAATAAATTCCAAAAAATTAATAGGATCAAAATAACTATAGTCTATCTAAAAAAAGAAAAAAAATTGTAGAAAATTTATATCTTATAAATATGCTTTTTCCCCTAATAATTAATAATTAGTATTTGTCGACGCTTATTAATACTAATAAATAATAAACGTATAACAATCAATGTTTACCTTGGCGATTGTAAATTTATTAATTCCAATTTGGTCAAATCAAAGTCTCTAGAATTGATCTCTTTCTACAAAAAATAAATATTATCCCCTATAATGATAAAAAGAAATCGATAAAATAAAAAGAATGTGTTACATTTCGATTAGATTTCCAATAAATTTACAAACTCTGTGTTAATTCCATATATTATAAATATCCAACGAAGATTTAATTCGCACTGCAAATTTATCTAAAAATTAATCAGAGAGGTTAAAATTAAATTTCTATTGGGAATACTATTACAACCGTATTGTTAGTAATATTTCATATCTTCGATTAATAATCGCAACAACACGAATGCCCAGTAATTAATCATTAATTAAATAAACAACATAAATAGCTCAAAACGACCGTTATTACCGCGTCGCCATAAGCCTGTTCTTATAACCTAACCTCTCTCACCACGCACGTTAACTCAAACTCTTCGAAGCGCACGACATAGGGACAAGTAGAACAACGAGTAGAATAATTGCGCCGAGTACACGATGAGTCTCTACCCACGACGTGGACGTGTTGTGGTTGAAGAGAAATAGACCCTCTCTCCCTCGTGGCTCGAGTCTACGAGCGTGGGTTGCGCGCACCGGTGCGGTTGATCGTGTTCCGTGCAGGAGCGCGGAAAGAATATCGAGCCGGTGTTGCGATGTAAGGCTCGAGGGGATCTCGAGCGAGGAGGAGGAGGAGGGTGAGGAGAACGATGCATGGAAGCGCGGTAAGTCGGTTGGCGAGGGGTGGTGGGCTGGCGTGTCGCGCGCGCTGCTCGAAAGTAAGAGAGAGGAGGCTCGAAGGATGCCACGGCACGCGCTTCGCAAACTAACCGAGCCACGTTGTCGGTCGCTCGTCTCCGCTCTACCGAGCATCCTCTTCGCTTTCCGCTCCTGCGGAACCGTCGCGTGCCCGCGCTCGGTTTCACCTGCCAAAGTAACGTGTTCGCGAGTGTATTTTTCGTTTAATTTCTCTTTCTTTTTCCTTTATGGATTGAAAGGTGTGTAAAAGATGAACGGTAACCAATGTGGTTTTTATTTTTCTGTTTTTTTGTTTTCGATCTGTTCGGTTTAAAACATCGAGTTTTAAAGATTGAGACTTTTGTTTGATGGAAAGCATGGTTCAGGAGTTTGCAAATGTTGTCCTAATTGATAAGATTGTCTGCCCGTTTTCGTTGCCTCGAAGTATATTAGTCGAAAAGAGAGTGAAGCTAGTGAATGTTTGTGGATGGAAAGTGATCGCGAAACGAGTGTCTCGGTTACTGTGAATTTGAATGGTGGATATTTGGTTTATAGGTGCTTTATAATATTGTGATTTATTTCTTGATTACGTTTCTTGGATATTTCCGTTAAAACGAATCCGTAAGGCATTGATTTTCATAGATATGTATTATTATACGATAAGAATTTATAAGAATTTTTTAGTATTAAGAAATTTAGAAAATAATTTTTAGGAAACGTGAAGAACGGAAAATGCATTCTATAACAAAGAATTTATTTATAAACATCTTTATTTCACTTGAAATAATTACTCGTTTCTTTTTTCTACTCCTTTTCAAATAAAAATTTTCCAATCTCATTCGAAATTATCTTTTTCGACATACGTATTTCAATCGATGTATTTAAATTAGATTTCCACATCGGGGAAAAAAATGGGAAATGACAGAATAGGAACAAAGTAATAATTTATAATATAAAATCCAATATTTGATTAATTGATAATACTTTAAATACAATCTGTTCTTGACAATTGGTCTCTCTCTTTCTTTCTCTCGGGACATACCCGTCAAAGAATTAAAGTTCATCATTCGTGTCTCGTACCAACGGTATCAGGTACAACAGGAGTAGCATGGTACAGGGAGCATAGTGACAGATCGAAACCACGACGTGGTAGTAGCGTGTCAACGTCGAGTTCAATGCTGGCTCGAATTCGTTATATTCGAGATTCCAGCCACTGTCACCTGGCAATCACCGATATCGAAGCGATGCATCGCGCTGATAATCGCGTCAGTATCGGCGATGCCTCGAGGCTCTGACCTTCGCCAGATCGATCGTAATCGCGGTCGTAGTAACGCTCTTTTAATAATTAATCATTTTATTTCGTCCCATCGACGCGTTGCTTTCTATTCCTTGCTCAAGGAAAATTTAATATAGACGGTGTAACGTGATTCTTGAATTTTCTTTTTTGTAATCTAATTAATAATAAGACGAATTGTTTTGAATTTTCGTTTAACATTCATTTTTGTTTCTCACAACAAATTTATTATTATAATTTTATGTTCAGTAACGAATTTTTCTTTCTTTTCTTTTTTTTTTTTTTTTGAAAATTCATATCGTGTAGAATATAAATTTTTCTAAATTTTTGCTTACCAACGTTTAACGTGACAATTTTTCTATTCTTTTTCTTTGTTATTTTTATTTTAAAATGATTCTAAATTCGATATTTTGTGTTTAAATCTTTTCTAAATTTCTGCTAT